TCGTTGAGCGAGGAGTGTCTGTCATCAGTAATTTACACATGTAAACGTAAACTGGACCAACACTTCAGTGAACACCTGAACACCTCAGAGCTGAGACTACGGAGTCACATGATCACATTGTAAATGAAAACAGCAAAAACAAGGCAACACACACGCACACACACATGCAGATGGAGGGACTGCCAGACTCACCAGTGGTCGTGTGGCATTGTTGCGTTGCCGACGGTTACTGAGCATCTCACTCAGCTCTCACACACCAGCAGCCCTCCCCTCTCTCTCTCCTGTAACGTCAGGGTCCATTAAGCTTATAGCGCCTTAATCTTTCAGAGAGAGCGAGCGAGAGAGCCAGTAGCAGATGGAGGATGGCGGGGAGGGGAGGGGGGAGGGGCGGAGGGGAGGATGCTCTAACTGGATGTGGTGGAGTTTGAGTCCGGACCGTGAATGTTTGCACATCTCTCCCCCTCGTCAGGCTCTGAGCTTCAGCGCGTTCAGCCTGAAGTGAAATCCCGATGACCTTAAAGCGTCTCTGTGCAGGTGAGCGTTACAAACACTCGCCATCACTACCGTCAGCTTCCTGTCACACTCACTTCATCCTAGAGTAGTTTACCCTCAAGTTACATCGCAGATTACCTGCACTCAGTAAAGGCACAGCCACACGCTGCAGTTCCTCTGGCGTCCAGCAGAGGCTCCAGCGGAAATAAACATGTTGACAGCTTAGAGATAATTTCACACTACGCAACTTTTTAATGACATCATGTGACAAATAACATGGCTTCTGTGAGGTTACTGTACTAACAGGCCAAGAATGAGGCGGAGGTGATGAAGCAGCTCACACACAGACACCGCGCCTCTGCAGGAAGACGATCCACACCACCCAACCAACCAATGAGCTTCTCGGGGTGACGAGCAGCACGTGTGGACGTTGAAGTGCGAACCTGCTGGAGGGAAAACAGCTGTCGGACACGCAGTCACCTTCCCCACAGACGCACAGCGGGCCACATGTGGGCAGACACACGGGAGGAAGACCTCTGACGAAGGACTTACAGGCAGTGCGTGTTATTGGATTATTAAAGACGTGCGTTACGAGAGCTGTCCGCACATTTCTGGCGTTTAAGCTACGTGCTCGTTCTTCAGGTGTACGATGTGCAAAGTGAAGCAGCCAAAACGAGGCGTGCACGTGAAGTGAGCGTGCAGACTTGGTGTGACTGCTCATGCATGAGTCACGCACACACCGCCCGATGGTAACGATCCCGTTTACGGAGGCCTGATTGCACCATGTGCTTTTATGGCTGCTCTGTAATATCACTCACTTGTCGGTTGTAACGGCGAGCGTCACCTGTGGAACATGTCCCATGATCCTCTCCAACTCGCTGTGTGGCCGTGCTGCAGACTGACACCTGGGATCAAACCTGTGACCTGCCCTCTCTCTCAGGTTTCGGGCTCAGTCGGGAGCAGCGAGCGACTGCAGCTCCCAGCACTCATCCTTCCGCTCCACCGCAGAGAGCATCTTCATCTTCCAGCTGAAATCAGATCAGTCTTTAGGCTCACAGGAAGACAAAGAGCTTCCAACGTGCTCCGTGTTTTTCTCCTGATGTGAACGTCGGGAGCTAAACCAGCGGACATCCCAGAGACTAAAGGTTAAAGGTCATCATGACCTTACTGAGCAGGTTTTTGGCATGTCAAACGTTAGTCATGACAAAACGTCACAGAAAGGTCTCACAGGAAGCAATGACATCATGATGACATTTAAGGTCAGCTTCACCGTGACATCGTGACGTTCTGCAGTAACTCTCCTCGTGGCCGTTCTGTGACCGTATGGCAGTAACTCCTGTTCCGGACTCTGCGGTGTGACATGCGAACGCACCCAAACAAACGTCTCTTTAAAGCTTCCAGGTCAAAGTTTTGTTCGACAAGCTTTGGAGTAAAGCAGGAGTCAGCCTGACTTTAGTCTTCAAACTTCTAGTTGACGGATGTCACAGGTTTTTAAAAAAAGCAAATTTAAGTGGACATGCAGGCTACACAGATGTGGAGGCTCCAGCACGTCAGCACAAGGATTTCACTTTTTCATCCTTGTTCCTGCTAAATGTTCAAAAACAGATCAAACTGATGAAAGAAATAAGCAGAGGAGCATAAACGCAGCGTCCTTATCAGCATTTCCGCAGTTCTCAATATTTGGCTCATTAATAACAGTATAATTGCTTCTTTTGTTCACAGTAATCTGCTTCACCTTTGAAACCAGCTCATATCGATTTCCTCCTGTAAATCCTGCATGAGCTGAGCGGCGCTTCCTTTTCATACTGGAAATATTTGTCTGCATACAAACAGCAGTTAGAAATGTTTTGAGCTCATTAAATCCATAATCAGCATCTGTTAGCGTCTCGCTCGCCTCCAGGTTGTGTGCTCGATCCTCTCATTGGGCAACAGCAGTCGCCTGAATCTCACCTGGAGTCTTCTCGTGTCTGTAACAACAGCTCGTGTGGATCTGCGTCAAACGCCGCAGATCTGTGCGCCGCAGTTTGTCAGTCTAATTAAACCATCAGGACCATCAGAACCATCAAAACCATCAGGATCATCAGAACCATCAGAACGATTAGGACCATCAGGACCATCAGAACCATCAGAACCATCAGGATCATCAGAACCATCAGAACCATCAGAACTATCAGGACCATCAGAACAATCAGAATCATCAGGATCATCAGAACAATCAG